CCCTAAGTGAAAGTGACCCTTGTTCTGTGACAATTGAAAGTGCGGTGAGCAGGGCACGGGGATGCCAATTTGGCGGTGTACGAGCCTTTTCTACGTCGGGGGTTTCCTGGCCCTCATCAAGCCTCACTTGACCGTAGCAGGATTGGTTTACAAGATTTGGTTCCGGTCTGGGACCAGTACGGTCCAGCACTGGTATAGTTCACTGATCTGGCTCATTGCTGTTACATCTCGGTATGGCGCAGGTACGGTTCACTAATGCGGCTCGTCGGTGTGGTTTCTTGGTACGGTTCATTGGCACGGTGCATTGGTACGATTCATTAGCACAGTTCACTGGTACTTGGTGCGGATCACGGTGTGGTTCATTTGGATGGTGCATTGCAACAGGTCGGGACCCACTGGTGCCAAGTCTCAGCCGGAGGTGCAGCAGACCTGGATCGGACTACCGCGGACTGTGTGGATGGAACAGCCACTGGGCCAAGGACATCTGTGGTACCGGGACTGCAGCGGACTGTGCTGCTGCCACAGCTATTGAACTAGGAACTGGCCCTGTATTAACACTGGGACTGCAGTGGGCGGGGGTTGCCAGTATGGCAACTGCACCAGGCCTGGATCTGCAAGACAAGAGCCGTTGTTAAACCGTTGTTGGTCGTATTGGTACCGGACAAGACCTCTATTCACAGGGCCTGGATCTGTAGTCCTGGCCAGCAGCTGGTACCGGGCCAGCAGCTGGTACTGTGTCAGCGGTCAGCACCTGTTCCTTTTCAGGCTTGGGCCTGCCAGTGGGGGTGGCAGCTCGAGGGAGCTGCCTGCTAGCGGCTATACAAGCAATGATTTTGACTTTTGGGGGGTAGTTCGCCTTGGATGAACCATGGTGTTCACGGTGAACACCGCGACCAAGGTGTGCACCGCCTATAGAGGAGATTCAAGGAGGGAAGAAGCGAGCATGAAGGAGATGGAAGCGAACACGCCGTACACCGCCCGCGGTGAAGAGAGGTGGAAGCGAGGATGGACAGCATGGAAGCGAAAATGGCTTACACCGCACACACCGGAATGCGTAGCAGCAGCGAACAGAAGTGACGAAGGCAAAGACTGGTGTTGGTCCGTGCCTGTTCCCGTGAGCAGGTGGGCTCCAGCCATGACGGGCGCGCATGCTGCAGCGAAGAAGTGAGTTGACTTCGTACCCATTTGTGCAGGTACGCTGGCAAGGCCAGCGCGACTCTCAAATGCAGTCATCAGTGGACAAGAGGTAAGTGAAGAGGTAAACAACGTGAGAGAGAGTTGGGCGAACATCCTTGAGAGTGATAGAGAAAGGGAGTGTCAAAGGGGGAGACTGGACGAGATGGTGTGTATGAGTGAGAAGAGAGAGAACTGGTGAGACAGAGAAGAGTGTGAGTGGGTTCTAGCACGTAAGGGACAACGTTGTGAGACTAATTCAATGAACCTGGTTGTAATTGCTGCCAAGTTCATCTGAATGTCAGCAAGTGTAATCCCCAGGCAGAAGTAATTAACCGAGCATGAGCAGGAGAGTTAGTACGAGTGAGTAAGGGAGTTAGTAAGAGTGACAGCGAGAGAGAGAGAGAGAGAGAGAGAGAGAGAGAGAGAGAGAGAGAGAGAGAGAGAGAGAGAGAGAGAGAGAGAGAGAGAGAGAGAGANAGAGAGAGAGAGAGAGAGAGAGAGAGAGAGAGAGAGAGAGAGAGAGAGAGAGAGAGAGAGAGAGAGAGAGAGAGAGAGAGAGAGAGAGCACAGAGAGAATGAGAGCATCCAAAAAGAAAGGGGGAGTTAAGAGTAAAAGAACAAGAAAAAGAGAGAGCGTGAAGAGAGAGGGAAAACGGGCGCGTTTGTGTGTGTGTGCGCGAGTCAGAGAGAGAGGAATAGTAGGCCTGGTAAGAGGAGAGAGAAGGAAACAACAGCGCATGAGCAAACCCGAAATGAAGTCTGAAGTGCACATGAGAAGAACGGGAGCTCGTGCGACTGCTATGCACGCGAGTGTATAAGAGTAAGGGGGTAAGTGAATGACGGAAAGAGAGTGAGTCAGCTTGTGTGATTGCTATTTGCCTCCATGGTATACACCCGCTTGGAGCTGAACGCAGCCTTCACACACGCCGACTCAGGATTTGTGAAGATGTGATGACCCGACCAAACACGGACTGAGACACACAGCTGATTTCTGAGTTTTGCTCACGGACTGAATGCCTTGCTGAGTTTCCCGCTTGCCACTCAGTTCTGCATGTCTGTGTGTGTGTGCATGCTTGCTGGTCTGCATGTCCATCTGAGTGCCGGTTGGCTTGAGTGTGTGTGTGACCCGCAAGGGTACTTGTCCGTTGGTTGGGCCCTCAGGGCCGGTACTTACCTGTGGCCGTGACATTGAGGGATTGCAGCGGGGGCAAAACACTCAAGTAGCAGGAAGGCCGGTACCGCACCCTGAAGAGGTAGATGTGCAGGTACTGGAGGCCGCGCAGAAGAAGACAAAAGTGGCATTTTGAGAGGCCCAGTAGTTGTAGGCTAGGTATAGGCGGGTACCGGTCCAACCAGTCTGAGTCTAGGGCCTGTACGGGCAATATCAGAGTCTGCAATGATGATTCCCTCCGAAAGGGAGGAGGTACCGGTTGCTGGGAAGGCCGAGCGGCCTGGATGTCACCGCCCAAGAGGCAAGCAGGCCGCTATATCTCCAGGCCGGGCGAAGAGCCCAGCCTCATTGTCGGTGTGCAAGTTTGGCGACACACTGGTTGGAGCACTGGCTCGAGCGCTGGCTTGGAGCAGCGCTGCTGGGGAAGAAGCAAGGACACGGAGGAGGAAGAAGAGCAGGGGGAAGGGGGAGCGCCAGAGGTACTTACCTGGCTATGGTGGCAGCCATCTTCATCACCTTGGTGGGCGCTGCAGCAGGAAGACCCCAGCGGGGGTAGAGCCACACCAAGAAGCTTCGAGGCACAGTCAGGCATGGCAGCCTGAGCTGGAGCAGCCATAGCTGCTTTGGGTTGTCCTTTGGACATCAGGGCAAGGCCCAGTAGTCCGCCATAGCCTCGGCCTATGAGAGTGAAGAGTGAGGGAGGTGGCCATGGCTATGGTGGACCTCAAGTGATGCCTGCAGTAGAAGAGGAACTCGGACACGATTCTGGATCAGCCATTCAACGTTGTACTATTATTTCTTGTATGAATAAGAGAGGAGTAAAGGAGGAGGAGAGTGTTGGGCGAAGAAAAAGAGCTTTGTCATTTGTCTATGCTGGTGTACATCATCTTCTTCTTCTTCTTCTTCTTACCCTCTCTCTCCTCTCAAGTTCATTCATTTCTTTCTGCAGTTGGACGGCATTATACTATCTGATGAATGTGTATCTCGAAATTGGCCAGGATCATAACAAAGATCTTATTCTACTTATCCATGAAATGAGTTAGAAGTCACAGCCAGATTCGTTGCATGGTCATGTATGAGTGTGGACTGTTGAAAAGGACTGAAGGTCCCTAAACTGGGAGTGGCGTCTCCTGCAAATCATCTCCAACAGATGGCTGCCTGCAGGGCGCATGAGACATGAGCGGACTTTCGCACCACTTATCGACATGGTGCTGGCCAAATGGTTGCAACTTTTCAAACAAAGCACCAATTGAGGATCGGTTTTCACATGCTTGAGGGGACTTTTAAAACGGAGGGTTCTATCGTTCGGATTTCGGAATGATCAAGATTTGGGCATAACGGGATTGTTCTCAAGAAGGCTGATCACTTCAAAAACGTGGTAATCAGGATTTACTTGTGTCCTCTATGAAGTCACTGTTCAAGATGACGGTGTTGTGATACAGAGGTCACTATAGTCTGGTCTAAGCTCAGCCTGCCAGATTTAGAATGAACTCTTGCTGGTCATATGTATGTAGATGTTTCCCTCAGTCTCTGCAAGAAGTCAATTGGATGAAAGTATATGGGCATTGCCAGTGGTAAACTGAAATAAATTTTTATTTATTTTTTATTTTATTTTAAGCAAGCACTCGAAAGCTGGACCTGGCGCCAAACAGGTTAGTGGACACTTGAGAGCTGAACTGCTTGATCATCTCGCAGTCTGGAGTACTGTATGTCTGTCCCTGCACTGGTAAATTTTGAAGATACCCCTAGGCATTAGCCATTTTGCATACCCGCCCCTATTGTCTACATACTCAAAAGAACACCCTGATATTTTAACTTTTAAGTATATTTCCTATCCATTTCTGACTGTTGTTAACTCCAAATATATCCCTGCAAATCTGAAACCTTGTGGGGACCTTCCCGTGGGTTTGATCCCCTGTTTCAGATATGCAAGGTTGAGTCATTCACTGTAACAGTGGCTTACAGTCACCATCTGTTAACCTGTCAACCGAGTGGGGGACGTGACAGGTAACACAAACCTCGACTTGCTGTCGATCGCTGAGGACCTCAGAAGCGGGTGCAGCGGGTGACAGACGCTGTTGCCCCTGGCTTCAGCAAGCGGTAAGTGATTCCGTCCCCGGGTTTCCTCTCTTCGTCGTCAGACTCGTCACCGTAGCCCATCGGGCTGAATGGCACACACATGTAACAGTGAGAAAAACAGAATCACGAGTTCGAGTCCTGCAAAAATCAGATGGATATAATAACAGTATGTGTTCCCTTCCCCTTCAGGCAGACAAAAAAAAAAAAAAAGACTTTCAACTTTCACGTTTCAAATTTTAAGTTTCAAGTCCCAAGTTTCAAGTTCCAAGTTCCAAGTTCCAAATTCCAAGTTCCAAGTTCCATGTTTCAACTTTCACATGTAAACTTGGGACCCACACAACCAAAAGAACTGAAAGTTGCCCCAAATACAGCTATAATGACTATTGTGACTGTTGTGTTTGAATCGGAGGAAGGTGGTAGCAAGTTCAACAGAGGAGCACACAGATGGCACAAGATCAACTCAATAATACCTCCTCCTCCGCCTCCTCCTCCTCCTCTCTATTCCTCATCTCCCACCGGTCCCATACTTTTCTTATTTTCCCCTTCCTCCTACCCTCTCATTTAATTTACTTACCTTCAAAAGTTCCAGCGTCTTTATATCTCTGTCGGTATCGTAATCCGACTTTGCGAGTAACTTGTCGGCAAGCATGAGTCGGTACTCGTTGACGAACAGCTCCTTGGAGCCGTAGATCCCGACCAAAGTACTGATGATATCCATCATCCGCCTGCTCCTGCTCGTCTTCGATGGATCGGCCTCCACCGGGTCCGGGTCCCATCTGCAACCAAAAAAAAAAAAAGCCAAAAGTGTTATCACAAAGACAGCTCAGGCCACCAACGGGCTTAAGCTCGGTTGGTACACCCATTAACTGACTGCTGAAATGCAGACAGGTGCAATGAACCTTGTAGTTTTCAGCAGGCTGCAACAATATTAGGGTCCGTCTTCTAATTTTCTGTGACCCGTGGCTCTAAGTGGTGACCCACAATGGCCTAGTCCATACGGGGACTTTTCTGTAAATTCTGTGACTTTCCAAGCCTTTTCCTCACTGACTAGGTCTGGTCCCCGGTCCTATAGGCCATGCTGTTTCGTGATTCCTAGGCCGGGAAGGCCGTAGGCGAGCAGTAGAAATTGTAGAGGGTCGAACGACTTCGACGTTTCGTTTTCAATCGTTGGGGAAACGCTGTCGATTGAGTTGGTGTCCGGCTTTGCTGCTGGAAGGGGAGAAGACACCGCCATAGCAGGGGCTGATTGGACCTGAGAGGCAGCGATTCAGCAGGCGCTGAAACACTGTAAGCGGGGACATCGTTCTAAGGTGTTGGGAGTTGGGTGCTAACTTGGCTGTCGCCACGTGGCAGCAGTTCCCTCTTTTCTTTGAAGGGGGAGTCCTTCTTCTTCAGGGAAGCTGGCGCTGCTCCCCGAAATGGGCGCTGGATCTGTAATCAGCGAATTCGGTGTTTTCTGGGCCGGTGCTTGAGACAGGAAGGTTGGGTCGGTGGTCCACAGGTGTTGGAGTTGAGGGACTGTTTCAGGGTGGCGCCATAGAAAGAACTCTGGACACTGATAGGGAGGACGAAGAACTCTGAAGAAGCCGCCCAGATACTTCATTGAAACTTGTTTAATTCTGTCCAACGGACCACACACCAGATGCCATTGGCAGGACCTGATGAAGGTCTACCCTCAGCCACGAAGTAATTATTATGCTGATGGAATGGCTCTGCTGAGATTACATGCTTCTGCGACGTCCCTACAGTCTGGGGAAAAAGTTATGGGTTCAGGTTTCGGCTCATGAATGCTGTCCGAGCCTCAAGCTCTATTCTTCTCTCAATCTATATAGAATGGACCTCGCTCCACTACATGCATCTGGACAGACTGCCAGGCAAGATACTTTTAGACTGATGACCCACCGACCGTCTGTAGAAAAAGAAAAAAAAACAGAAAACCCTCTGCCTGCACGAGCTGAAACCTGAACCCGTAACTTTTCTGCTGTCGAGACATACTCAAAAAGAGCTATAAGTTTTGGCAAGGACCTTCTCTCATCATATGTCGCTCAGCCTGTGGGGTATCAATATCTGTTGGAGTAGTGCAGGATACGCTATGGTGCTGAATTGAAACTCTTGGGCCACGCGGAGGTCAGATAAGTAAGCTTTGCTTACTCGACCCCTCCCCCTGAAAGCCACACC